GGGACACCAGAGACTTATATTACATATTGTAAAAAGGGGCATAATATGTCTCCTTTAAGTACCAGATATGGGTGTCATGCCATAAAATATTGTTAATACGACTTGACTTTGTATTTAATGTGAATTTAATAAAAATTTAGCAGCTGGTGATGTTTTACTTTTTTCCATTACTGCCACCCACAGGACACACTGCGCATTGAACCCAAAATTGTTTGGTGTGATACGATTCCAAATTTAGGGGGGCCAGAGGGGGGACCAAGCTTGTTGACACGGGGGGCACTGCCCCCCCCAGAACCGCCCCTGCGTATTACTAATAGCCTACTTGTAACTCAACTTCCGGGGGCACCTAGATCCTAGAAACCTAGCGGGGACGCCACGGCTCATGACTTACTTTCTGCACACGAGTCTGAGTTCGCCTTGGCGCAGAACAGAGGACGCATGTCTGCAGAAAACAACACTGGCTAGCCTCCTTCTGATATCAACCAATCATCATAGAGACGTAAATTACGTGATATTAGTTTAGTTTGAACGTCTGCCGCTGCGCTGATAATGTACCAAGTACTTATGAGTAGCGATATTGAATATTTGATTATTTGCCAACAGATTTATCAAGCTGTCATTTAAACAGTATATATACAAATGTAGGGAAAACAGCAAATTATATTATCTTGCTCTATGTGTGTCGTTTTCTTTACGTTTTCTGACTAAAAGCAACCAAAAAGCCATTTTAAAGTGGTTAAGCAAATAATAATAATAATAATAATCGGCAGGGATCCCAGACCAATACAATTAGTGTACTTCCTTAAAACCCACGAGCCGCCACTGTTTATACGTGAAATTCCGGAGGGGACATCGGATGGCGTCGCGTGGGGACGTAATGATGTGTGCGGTGTGCCATTAATCGAACTATGTACTATAACATGTAAAACGGGAATATGAAAGGAATATTCTAAAAACCACTCATGTAAACACCATAATTATAATATTGGCTTATTTAGAATAAGGTAAATAATTAGATTACTGATGTCCATGTAAACGTAGTCTGATACCAGTTGTAGTCCTCGTGTTGTGAAGGAATGTCTTCTTATCCATATATACTGTATAATTCCAGACTAAAATGTAGAAAAGTGATTTGCATCTTTATATTGTGTTTATGAATATGTAGTTACTTCGAAATATATTTAAACTTAACATAGTTATCTTAAATCATTGCACTGGCTTTCAGATGAGCATACAATGCTTTTCATAATAGTAGATTTCTCTGGCATGTCAGATTAAATAATTATGGAATTTTAAAATATTTATTTTATTTATTTATTGCTTTTCAGATGGAAGGCACACTGACGTAATCTTTGAAAAGTCCAGGTCTAGAAGAATTACAACTAAGGTTCTATCTGTATTACATAAAACTAGAAGCCAGGATAAAGTATGACAGTCTATTTCCCTCCAGCAGATGACTTTTTACTTACATTTCTTTTATGAACCTCTGTTCTGGAAAGTTATAATAGATACATTGGACTCTGACATCACTGTAGTTCAGTGAGAGCTTTAAGAGAAAGTAAAACTAACTTTATTAACAGCATGGATGCCTTGTCAACATATTCTGTTACACCAAATACACAAAATAATGATCTTTAAAAAAGCATCATATGACCCCTTTAACCTCTTTAAACACAAGGGTCTTTGAAATACTCAAAGACCCTTGTGTTGTGGACACATCTGATACTCACAGGTAAGTGATAGAAATATAAGAGAGATTATCCTGAACAGATTTCTAATGGTCTGGTTTAGTTGGGTTTATGTTAAACTGGAATAAGCTGAACAGAAACAGATGCATGCATGTCAAATACTCAACTTTAGTACTTTACTTACTTTACTAATACTACTTTAGCTGTTTACTGCACTGAAATTATCTCAAAATCTGTATTTAAAGCATGTCATTTGGGTAAATATACACTATTAGTTGTACTGTGTACTTTCTATCTCTCTTGTGATAAAGGTGTATGTTGTTCTCTGTCTAGAGTAGACTCAACTGATGAAGACACAGAAAGATGTGCAGCAGTTGATCCAGGAAAAAAATCAAGAATATTCAAGACATCAAACACTCAGCAGAAGTCAGAAAAGTGAGTTTAAAATAGTTAAATTATATTCATTTGACTATTTATTAAAGATCATTTAGTTGCGGTCCTCCAAGAGTCTTGATATAAAGTCAAGAAGCACCGAGACTTTTCACTGTTTGTATCAGTGTACAAACTTTGTATTGTGTTTGTTAGACAGAGTCAGACTGTCAGTCCGTGCATTAGCGGTGGGGATTTTACAGTGCAGGTTATATCAGTACAACAATAGTTGACTCTTTCGATTTTATTTTATTTAATCGAGTGATTAACTGAAAAATGAATTCAGGAACGAACAAATCTCTACTACTACAATTTGTTGTGGCTTTATTTGAAACTATTCTCAGTGCTTGGCACAAATACAGACAAAGTAACTGATAATAATTAGCCCAAAACGGTTGTTACTCAATTATATTGAGTTACTAAATAATATATATGAATTGTTGTATAAAAGCAATAGTATCACACACAATCGTGCTGTAGGTCTGAATAGTGACACGAATGTGATTACCTGATCACATAGTAAAGTAATGTCACTTCTCTTCATCAAGACACATGTTTTGAGGAATCCTTCAGTGCAAACGGTACAGGATGAAGTTTAATACTTCGGTTGAGGGATTTTGAAAACCCCTTTAAACACTAAAGTATGAGGAAGAGTAACACTGATTTTTGCCTTAGCAAACATCACTGATAATTAGTTGATTGACCTTGTTGAGCAGAGAAACACAGAGGAGGAGAAAGCCACCCGTGTTGAGCTCTTCACTGATCTCATCCGCTCCATTGAGAGATCTAAGTCTGAAGTGCTGGAGATGATTGAGGAGCAGCAGAAAGCAGCAGAGAAAGAGGAGCAAGAGCTCATTGAAGAGCTGGAGCAGGAGATCACTGAGCTAAAGATGAGAAACACTGAGCTGGAGCAACTCTCACACACTGAAGATCACCTCCACCTCCTACAGGTCAGTGAACATCTCTCTGATCAGTGATAATGCAGTATATGACACCATAACACTCCTCATGCTGAAGGATTTCTCCTCTCTCCTGCTGTAGAGTTACTCATCCCTGTGCAAGCCTACAAACACCAGGAACTGCTCTGAGATCAGTATGAAGACTCATAAGAGTCTGGAGACTCTGAGCAGAGCTCTGACTAAACTGCAGGACACTCTACATGAGAAACTCACACAAACTGGTACAAAGTTTGGAACTGGTACAAAGAGCACGCATGAACAATTGTGTGCAAATCAGTTTAGCAGTTTAAGAGAAGATTTTTAAATATTTTACCAAAGACACAAAAAAACAAAATCAAATTGATTGACATCATGGGTTTAGGAGAAAAGTTTGTTCTTCATGAGAAGAGGGAAAATGTTGTCTTCTGTACATTGATCAGAGAAATACATGATGTTGTACACAGTTCTTCAAATATAGCCGTAAAGCTGTAATTCCACATATAAAAACATCTCAATGTTTTATTGTTATAGTGTCTACAGAGCTGAAGAGGATGCAGCAGTATGCAGGTACAGTGTGCTGTCTGTGCTACACTAGATTACATTCATATACTCGCAGCTTCATCACTGCACTACAATCTGATTAAAAACTGAAATAAATATTAAAAACATCGTCACAAAATATCTGTATTGTGAAGTTGTGATTCATATTCTCTGTTTTCTCAGTGGATGTGACTCTGGATCCTGATACAGCTCAACCTCATCCTGTCCGATGATGGAAAACCAGTGAGACATGGAGATATTTGGCAGAAACTCCCAGACATCCCAAAGAGATTTGGTAGATATCTAAATGTCCTGGGAAAGGTGGGATTCTCCTCAGGGAGATTTTATTTTGAGGTGCAGGTGAAGGGAAAGACTAAATGGGATTTAGGAGTGGTCCGAGAATTCATTAACAGGAAAGGAGATATCAAACTGAGTCCCAGTGATGGATACTGGACTGTGGTTCTGAGGAATGGGAATGAATATTGGGCCTATGCTCATACAGACGTCTCTCTGTCTCTGAGAGTGAAGCCGCAGCGGGTCGGTGTGTTTGTGGATTATGAGGAGGGTCTGGTCTCCTTTTATGATGTGGAGTCAGGCTCTTATATGTACTCTTACACTGGTCAGTCTTTCAATGGCAAACTCTATCCATTTTTTAGTTCGTGCTCTAATAATGGAGGTAAGAACTCAGCCCCACTGATCATCACACCTGTCAAGACAAGATGAAAATTCTTATTTGTAAATTGTTTTTTTTTTTCATTTTTAAATTCTATAAACTATAATTACACATTTTAAATGTAAAATGTCATGATTCTTTTTAGAATATTCAATAAATGATTTTTTTCTCCCATCTCCACCCAACAAAGTGAAATCGTTGTGAAATGGATTCATCCAAATATGAAAATTCAGTTATCATTTACTAACCTTCATGTTGTTTCAAACCTGTATGACTTCCTTCCGTGGAACACAAAAGGAAACTTTTTGTGTTCAAGAATGGTAAACAATAGAAGTCTGATTTTTGTCCATACAATAGAAGTCACTGGGAACCAAAATGGACAAATTTGACAGTTGTTTGGGGAATTATATTATGGGGAAAATTTTTGTTTTACTTTACTGTACTGAAAGGCTTAATAGGTAGCCTAATGCGCACTTTATTTACTTTATCAAGTTATAATGGTTAACAAATCAAAAGCAACATATAAATATGTATACTACATGATATCAGTGTTGTGTTATTTGACCCATTTAAAGTTTTTGTTTCTGAAATCCAACCTGAATCCACACTTCTGCTGGAATCCTGCTAAACATTTTGAAGAACAGATACTTGAATGTACTGTAGATCCAGATCAAAACCAAGATTTGGATTGCGTGATCTAATCTGATTTCAGAATAATTTTTTTCTGCTGAGATCTCTTCTTCATTAACTAATAGAAACATCCGTCCCAAATACAAACAAACACACGTGAATCCAACACACCAAATACAGAGACACGTTTAAATGTATAAATACAGGAGGAGCTCTGACATCACTGGAGTTCAGTGAGAGATTCAGAGAAAGTGAAACTAACTTGATCAGCAACAATATAGACGCCTGAAACAATCAACTTCTTTAAACATCAGAATATTTCAACGACTCTTGTGGATTTGATACTCACAGGTAAGTGATAGAAATATCAGAAAGATTTTCCAGAACAAGTTTCTAATGGAAGTGATCGAGATTATTCGGGTTTATGGGTCATTTTGTCACACAACATAAAGACTTAAGAAACAGGAAGTAAACCTAGTGTACCTGCAGACAGACTGAACACACACCTGCTACACTGCAGCTGAAAAACACATTTACATTAAACAAGATTAAAATTACACTCGATCATAAAATATATCTGTTTATTTTGTGGAGATATTTATTTTTAGTAGTTTAGTTACCTGGATTTTGTACTTCGTTTCTTATGTCAACAGAAAGTCTAGACTGTACAGTAAGTTCTTGAGTCAGTGTGTTTCAAGCAAACGGGACGTCCGTTTAGGTCCGCAGTACGTTCGCTTTGTAACGTTCGGGGGCGGACGTTCGGAGGACGTCCGGATTTGGTCCGCTGTGTAACGTTTGCTGGCGGACGTTTTGAGGACGTCCACTTACGTCCGCATTTGGTCCTCTTTTTGACGTTCGCTGGCGGACGTTTTGAGGACGTCCGGTTTTGGTCCGCCGTGTAACGTTCGCTGGCGGACGTTTTGAGGACGTCCACTTACGTCCGGTTTTGGTCCGCTTTGTAACGTT